GAACCTCTCACACACACAACACACAAGCACTTTTTAACTTTTATTTTATAATAAAAAATGTATCGTGGAACATCAGCTACATTCTAAGTCCAGTTCCACCTCCTCTGGCAATAAGCGCAGATTGCATGAATAGTCGTAACGACCAGCAGTAAATCGTCGTAACAAGGGAAACAATGACGTGTGTGATTACCGCCCCTGGTCTTCTGCCAACATGCTGACGTTCAGCTGACAATACGATCGGTCATTTAGGAGTTACAGCAGATCACAATCGGTCACTCCACTCTCCCCTCATTTTCCCATTCAATTATCAACAAATCTCTTTTATAGGAGATCAGTACATTACGCATACATTAAGGACTGTGGTGAAGGGCACTTTGGGAACAGCATCAGCAGCAACAACATCAACAACAACAACTACATCAACAACAACAACAACAATAACAACAACAACACAACAACAGCAACAGCAAAAACAGCAGCAGCAACAACAACAACAACATTAACAGCAGCAACAACAACGACAAAAACAACAACAACAAACAACAGTATTGTAAACACATCAACACGAAGAGAACCTGAAACAAAAGCAATGTTACGCACAGGATCACGCAACTGAACCAACCTCACCCCTCCACCCCATTTTTCCCCACCATCCCCAACCAACCTCTTCCACAGAACTGTCCTCATCACTAGACAGCACCATCGGCTCTACTGTGCCGAACTTGGTGAAATAATGGACGACGGCGAACTCTATGGTGGTGGCAATGACGAACACGCTGCATAATGCCACATACCAATTCAGGACCATGATGTAGGACCTTTTAAAAAACAAAAACAACCACAAAAAGAACAACAACAACATGACAACAACAAAAATTACAACATAACAATGGCAACTGAAAACATCCACGACCACCACCGGATCATCATCACCATGTCAGCAACAACACTCATAACACCCCCCCCCCCCCAACCCACCTCTTCCACAGAACTGTCCTCATCACTAGACAGCACCATTGGCTCTCCTGTGCCGAACTTGGTGAAATAATGGACGACGGCGAACTCTATGGTGGTGGCAATGACGAACACGAAGCATAACGCCACGTACACGTCCAGGGCCGTGATGTAAGAGACTTTGGGCAGCTGGCTCTTGTTCTCGATGCCCAGGATGGTCATTGTGAGGACAGTCGTAGAACCTGGGTGGTGG